TTTTAATGTTTTTATTTTATTTTTTAGTTTATCTTTTAATTTTTGGGTATTAATTCGACTTTTTCTTTATTTCATTTTCTTTTTCTTTCTTCTTGTACAGTACCACAACTTCTCATGTTGGCTATGTTTTTAGTCTGACCTTATTCTTCATCTGACCAGGTCAGCAATGTTGCCCGCCAGCCACAAACACCATAGATGCTCTTGTATGGTGTCCAACTTCCTCCTTCTCCTCCTTCCTTTCTCTCTCCTCGTTCGCTTTCTTCTTCACAGATTGGTCCTCTCTTGCTCAAACCAGCCAACCTTCGTCTTCTTTGTCCCTCCAAGCCCGGCAGCCGCCGTTGCTCGTCTGGATCGTCCCTTGGGGCTTGGTGCTCCCTAGTCCCTATTATCTGCTTTGCAGGCTGGATTCTCCTTCTCGATACTACACCCTTCTTCTTCTTCCTCTTCTTCTATTGAATTGGAGGGTGAGTGATTAATACAAAGTACTATTTAATCTATCAAAAGGATGGTGGTGAAGAAGTCCCCTCATTTGTCTTCCAATCCAACCGAATATAGGACACATGTGTAAAGTTTGGTTTCAATCATAGGGATTGCAACATTTCCTCCGCCACATCCTTGTGCTTCCGTTAATTAAAACATCAAGCTCTTAGCTTCGTCGAATCATCATGTCTGTTTGTATTTATTTTGATCACCTGTGTCATCTTTTATACTTCCAACTCTATGAATCCGCACATCGAAAAGATAAAACTCGGCTATCCTTTCTAACAACTATCGTGTTAAGCAAACCAATCACAATATTCCATCTGCTATGAATCAGTGTTTTTATGGTACTAAATTCTTGATCTGGTTATTCTAATTTTTACTTTCAACTCAATATCTTGATACTTCCTATTCATCTTCCAATGTTAGCAGGCCCTTCGTATTATTCGTATGACTGTGTGAATGTGGGATGTGTGTGGTGATATTCAGGGACGGATCCATGATATTTAACCGAGGGGGGCGAAATCTTTATATCACAAAATGTAACATATATTTGCCGAAGTGTTTAGATGATCAAATGTAGCATATTTAACATAATTACAACAAAAATGTACAACAAAATAAAAATCATTAGTCTACCACTTCTATGTGTAAAAGTTGGACATTCTATACTGAACTCTACGCTTTTTTAAACGATCAAAGTCATCAATGAGAGAATCCACTAAAAATCCCCGAGCTATGTCTCTATATGTGTGTGTGTGTGTGTCACCCAGTAGATTAAAGAAAGTCATCCTCCATTTTATTCCGAAGGCATGTCTTCACAATTTTCATTGGCCAAAAATGCTCTTTCCGTTGTTGCAGTAGAAATCGAAGGATAAATTTTCGACTTCCGAATCTTCGTCAATAATTCCCACAATTATGCAAGTGTTGCTTTCTTCAACTCTGGACTTTGTTGAGCATCATATTTGAAATGCTCCAACTGAATCCTCAAGCATTCCTTTTTAATAGTAGAAAAATCATCATAATAAAATTTGCTCACAAGTTTACATATGTCTTCAATCTGAAAAGACATATAAACATCTCTTATATCCAAAGCAGCTTAACTAAGGACAAGTAAGTCTACTACATCATCATTGAAGCAATAATTCAATTCTAGCATAAGCTTATCCACAACAGAGTTAAATATATCAAACTTATAGTGATATTGCACTATAAGACATTCTCTATTGTTCCTTTGAAGGCGGGGTCGACCTCGCCCAACTTTGCACGCAGCACAGAAATCTGGGATCTCTATTTCATGTTGATGACGCCAAATGCATCACATTGAGTATATCTTGATATTTGCACTGCAAAGCTTGAGATAAATCGTCTGTCAGAGCAAGCACATCAATCATGAGAAGTAAAATAAATACAAACTCAAAAGATGCCATCACATTATACACTCCATCAGTTTCACTCCTTTGTGTTGGGCATCCAGATTTAATTATGTCTCGCAACACATCACAAGTAGAATTAAACATCCTTAGCAAACTACAAAGTGAGGTTAAATGGGAACCCTATTGAGTATATCCCGGACGTTGGAGAGTGCCAACTCGGGTTTTCCGCTTTCCAATTTCAATCTAACAGGTGTTAATCATTTTCTAATATGTAATGACTTGAAGTCTGTCAGTGGCTCAATCCTTTTGCAAGAACAAACAACCAAACAATGGTGGACAAATATGAAAAAAAATGATTAACCAGAATGACCTCTTTGGAAGTAACAACCAATGTACGTTAATTTGAGTCGGTGAGCAAGGCATGAACATAATAGGGAAATGGACACTTTTGTGAAAATAAGGCTTGTAAACCATTCCATTCACCTCACATATTATGTATTCTGTCATATCCTTGTCCTCGAAGATCCTTAACACTAAGGCAATAACAAGATAGGACCTCTAAAATTTCTTTCTCCAGAGCTAAAGATGTAGTCTCTTTAACATGAACTGTATCAAAGAATCTTTCACGGATGAAGCCTTCTTTATCAAAGAATCTCAATACAATCACCATTTGCTCCCTCTTGGATTCATCACGAGCTTCATCAACTAGCATGCAAAACTTTGAATTGCCAATCTCTTCTCGAATAATATATTGTTGGATCTTAGTTTCCAAAACAGATAGAATCTCTTTTTGAACACTTGAAGAAGTGTATGAAGCGTTTCTTTTTTAGCATTCTCTAACCCAACCGGTCTCACTTCCTCATTGTAAGATGCTAACAATTACGAGTTCAAGGAAATTGCCTTAATTTTTCGAGTCTATGACGCCCTCTAAATGCTTAACCTTGAAATGTGAGCCACGTGACGGCATCAATGGATACTTCAAGTTGTAACCGGTTTCTTGCAACTTGTTGTGAAGTTTGCTTCTCAATGACCCCCTTTCAATATGTTGCTAAGAGTTCTCAAGGTCAAGATAAGATTTAATTGCTTTCTTGTGCAAAGAGTTCAAATCTTTTCCCACATGATTAAGAAGAGGGCAGGGCATTGAGATTTTTCATTAACTTTCCTCCACGATCACAATCCATCAACTATAAAAGTGTTCTCATGACGACCAAATGGCTTATTGAATATAAAGCATGGTAAACAATAAGCACCATTCTTGCTAGGTGAAAACTCTAGCCAATATGAAAATAGCTTATACCAAGATGGAAGATTTTGGGGGAATGGGTTGAAAAGACCCAAATTTGATATAAGCTCGGTGAACTTATTCTTGTTTATTAGGATCATAATCCGAAATTGATCTCCAAAGTCCAGTATCTCGCTCCAAACTTGAAATATCAAAATCATTAATTTCAACTTTAGGAACTTTGGGTGGGCATTCACACTCTTGTGAAGAAGCTATGTTGACTTCTTCATCATTACAATCTTTAAGCAATAAATTTGGCGGGTCTTTACTTATTAATTTTTTTTTATCCCGGTAGGTAAACCACCTAAGTCGGTGGGGTCTTTACTTATTAAATGTTTCTTGAAATATGAAGCAATCTTTTTATCACCAATAATTGAAATTATGAAATTAATGTAAAGTATTAAAAACTTAATCACTTGAATAAGTCAAATTACAAATATAATTGAGAAATAATCCTGAATTTTATGTAAAGTATCAAATATAAAAATTTAACAAAGGCAATTTAATTTATAGTTGAGAAAATTAGAAGAACCTGCAACCTGTCGGAGTGGAGGGTGTGGAGAAAATCAGCAAAACAACAACTAATCGAGGGCGAGCTAATGAGTGATAGGTTGGTAGTGCGGTACAATGCAAAAAGAGATAAATTGAATTGAATATTATTTATGTTACTCAGTTAATCGAAAAATAGGAAAATGGACTATTCTCATACTTCATGTTGGTATCATTACATTTTTCAACACTAGAGATAGTAAATTGGTATAAGTGAGTGGAGCCACTTGCAAAAATGCATAAATCCAATATTAATGACCAAGCAGTTAAAAAAAAAGTTTTTACAAAATACTTGCATTTGTTAAGGATTTTCAGTGCTCAATGACATTATCTAGCATTTTCACTTGTATGTATGCTCTTTTCATTCAATGCTAGGCGATTTTGACTCAATTTTATATTTAAATTTTAAAATATTTTTTATGTTTAATACATTTTAAATATTTCTATATTCACTTTTAAAAGTCAATATGTACTTTGTTAGATAGAGTTGTAAACCAAAATATAATATCGTGAAGTAATGTTTAGTGTGGAATTGTGGATTGAGGTACTCCCTTTTCCAGGTTCACATTGTTTGATGAGATTTTTGTCTAACATCAATAAATTTTACTCAAAAATTTTAAAGAGCCATATATGACTCTTGTATGGAGACATATATGTTATGTGGACATTACCATCACCGCACATTTTTTTTATTGGTTTTACCTTTTGATTTACAACTCTATCTAACAAAGTGCAGATTGACTTAATGCACATTTATGGAGTCTTTTCATAGAGTTGAGTTCTCAACTCTATTGCGGTGGTACTTCAAAAAAAAAAACTCCATTGCGATGGAGAATACACATTACTTAATAGAGAGATTTCCATACATAGGACTAAATAAAAGCAAAATTGCAACAATATGAGTTTCATGTTTAAATTCCTAAAACAGGACTAACTTTTTCTATTCTAACCTAAAAATAATAAAAATAATAAACACCGCCACCGGAGATCAGATGTGGCGGTGTTGAAAAATAATGTCATCGCGATGGCAATGTTGAAAAAATGTTGGATATTTTCAAAAAGTAGAAATGTCATCTTCATGGCATTTCTGATAAGAATATGACATTTTTAATACAAGATGATATTTTTTCGGCGATCAGAGTCGATGATTCTGGTAGGTGGATGATGCCGAAGTAGTGGCCCACATATTTTTTTTAGGTATTTTATTTTACTTTTTTAAATTTTTTAAGTTTTTTAATCTCATTTAGGACTAATGACCGTACTTAATATTGGACATTATCTTACACGAATAACTAGTTAGAGAAGGAAACTAACCCGGTACTCCGTATAGAATTAGGGATAACATTGTTAAATGTTGAAAGGTGTGATGATTATAATTAAATTAGGTCTTCTTTATGAACCATAATAACCAAGTCCTTTTCCGATTCTGCCCGGTTAATTTTTTCTCCAATTCTACCTTCCCTTCTCCATAGTCCCAGTGGCTGCAACTTTAAACCCTAAGCCGATCAACATTCTTCACGATCAAGGTCCGCATACAGGCAGTGCCGTAATATGGGGGCGGATATTGTCGAAAGCGGACTGAAGAAACTTGAGTATCTTTCTCTGGTTTCGAAGGTATGTTCGGAGCTTGAAACGAACATAGGTGTCGGGGACAAAGTTCTTGCGGAGTTCATCACGGAGATGGGCAGGACCTGCGAAACCGTTGAGGAGTTCGACCGGAAATTGAAGGAGAGCGGTGCCGAGATGCCGGATTACTTCGTCCGGACACTTCTCACGATAATCCACGCCATTCTTCCTCCCTTGCCTAAGCCTGGATCCGACAAGGATGATGCCCAAGGGACCGATAAAAGTGGCGAGTTTTCTGCTCTGAAGATTAAGGATGATAAGGAAAGAATTAAGGAACTGGAGAGGGAAATTGCGCTCGAAACGAAGAAGAATCCGGGAAAAGATGACGAAAAATACAGGCGGGATAGAGATGATAGTAGACGAGATAGGAGGAGAGATAGGGATAGGGACGATAAAAGAAACAGGGATATGGACGATAAAAGAGACAGGGATAGAGATGGTAGAAGAGAGAGGGACAGGGGAGATCGAAGAGAAAGGGGCAGAGATGCTGAACAGAAAAGTCACGACAGGGACAGGCATGACGGGAGAAAGAGGAGAGATTATCATGAAGAAGAAGATTATGATGAAAGAGGTAGGGGGGAAGATGATAGAAGGAAAGTGATTCACCACAGATCAGATGAACCTGAACTGTACAGTGTGTATAAGGGCAGAGTAACCAGAGTAATGGACACAGGCTGTTTTGTGCAGCTGGATGAGTGTAGAGGAAAGGAAGGATTAGTTCATGTTTCCCAGATGGCAACTCGGAGGGTTGCGAATGCCAAAGAGTTTGTGAAAAGAGATCAGGAGGTATACGTGAAGGTTGTCTCAATGAATGGGCAGAAATTGAGTCTTTCCATGAGTGACGTTGATCAGAAAACTGGAAAAGACTTGGTACCATTGATGAAGAGGAGTTCGGATGATGGTGGTGGTTTGAGGGAAAAGCCATCTAGTGGTGCTAATCTGGAAGGTGGGATGACTAGGAGCAGTAGAATCGGTCTTTCTGGGATTCCTATCATGGAGGAAGACGATGTAGCAGTGCCTTCAAGAAGACCATTGAAGCGAATGAGTTCTCCAGAAATTTGGGAGGCGAAACAACTCATGGCTTCAGGAGTCTTACCCCTCAAGGAGCACCCAATGTTCGATGAAGAAGGGGATGGACTGTTGTACGAGGAAGAAGGTGCTGAAGAGGAGCTCGAGATTGAATTGAACGAAGACGAACCACCTTTCTTGCAAGGCCAGAGCCGCTACTCAGTGGACATGTCGCCAGTCAAGATTTTCAAAAACCCTGAGGGTTCCTTGAGCCGTGCAGCTGCACTCCAATCAGCCTTAATAAAGGAGAGAAGGGAAGTGAGGGAGCAACAACAGAGAACGATGCTTGATTCCATTCCCAAAGATTTAAACAGACCATGGGAGGATCCGATGCCTGAAACAGGTGAGAGGCATCTGGCCCAAGAACTTAGGGGTGTTGGTTTATCAGCTTACGACATGCCGGAGTGGAAGAAAGACGCATACGGGAAAGCACTCACTTTTGGACAGAGGTCAAAGCTTTCCATCCAGGACCAAAGGCAGAGTTTACCCATTTACAAGCTGAAGAATGAGCTCGTCAAAGCTGTGCACGAAAACCAGGTCTTGGTTGTCATTGGAGAAACTGGTTCGGGGAAAACCACACAGGTTACACAGTATCTAGCTGAGGCTGGCTACACTACCAGAGGAAAAATTGGATGTACCCAACCGCGCAGAGTGGCTGCAATGTCAGTGGCAAAAAGAGTTGCAGAAGAGTTTGGTTGTCGGTTAGGGGAAGAAGTTGGATATGCCATTCGTTTCGAGGACTGTACAGGGCCAGAAACAGTGATCAAGTATATGACAGATGGTATGTTGTTGAGGGAGATTCTGGTGGATGAGAATCTTTCACAGTATTCTGTTGTGATGCTTGATGAGGCTCACGAGAGAACCATCCATACTGATGTTCTCTTTGGTCTGTTGAAGCAACTGGTGAAGAGAAGACCTGACCTTCGGTTGATTGTCACGTCTGCAACTTTAGATGCCGAGAAGTTTTCCGGATACTTCTTTAACTGCAATATCTTTACTATCCCGGGGAGAACCTTTCCGGTGGAGATACTCTACACAAAGCAACCTGAGAGTGACTATCTTGATGCTGCTTTGATAACAGTCTTACAGATTCACTTGACAGAACCCGAAGGTGATGTCCTTGTTTTCTTGACTGGTCAGGAGGAGATCGATTATGCTTGCCAGTGTCTTTATGAGAGGATGAAAGGTCTGGGTAAGAATGTTCCGGAATTGATCATTCTGCCTGTTTACAGTGCCCTTCCAAGTGAAATGCAGTCTAGGATCTTTGACCCTGCCCCTCCAGGTAAGAGAAAAGTCGTAGTTGCTACAAATATTGCTGAAGCTTCATTGACTATAGATGGTATTTTTTATGTCATTGATCCTGGTTTTGCTAAGCAAAATGTATATAACCCCAAACTGGGTCTTGATTCGCTGGTCATAACTCCTATATCACAAGCCTCTGCAAAGCAACGAGCTGGTCGTGCTGGCCGAACCGGACCAGGGAAGTGCTATCGTCTTTATACTGAAAGTGCCTTTCACAATGAAATGTCTCCCACATCGATACCTGAAATTCAGCGTATTAACCTCGGGATGACAGTGCTTAATATGAAAGCTATGGGTATCAATGATCTATTGTCCTTTGATTTCATGGATCCTCCCACTCCTCAAGCACTGATATCCGCCATGGAACAGCTTTATACCCTAGGAGCACTTGATGAAGAAGGGCTTTTAACAAAGCTGGGTAGAAAAATGGCTGAATTCCCTCTGGAACCTCCCCTGTCCAAAATGCTTCTTGCCAGTGTGGACTTAGGGTGCAGTGATGAGATTCTGACCATCATTGCGATGATTCAGACAGGCAACATTTTTTACCGGCCTCGGGAGAAGCAAGCACAGGCTGATCAGAAAAGGGCCAAGTTTTTTCAACCTGAGGGTGATCATCTTACCTTGCTTGCTGTTTATGAGGCGTGGAAAGCTAAAAGTTTTTCTGGACCGTGGTGTTTCGAAAACTTTGTGCAATCAAGGTCATTGAGGCGTGCTCAAGATGTCAGGAAACAACTTTTGTCAATCATGGACAAGTACTAATCCTTCTTCTATCTTGTCAATATACATTTTATCATTAATGAAACTAAAAGAAAGTAGGTGCCCGTTTGGTAAAGGTTATGTTTGCTTAAAAGGGTCTGTTAAATTTTGTGAAAGCATATGTCTTTAATAAGCCAAATAAGCCAGTCAAAAGCTACATATTCGGTTGATAAGTAGAAACATTCCTGCCATATATGTCACCAAACACTAACTATTGTCATTGCACTCACAAAATTCAGATGATGTTGGAAAAAAGCATTCAAGTTACCCTTTTGTTGAAATTGCTGAAATGAATAAGCGATTCTATACCACATAGTTTTTTTCTAAAAGTTAAATATTAAGTTGCGTTTTAGATCATTTGGTATGTTTGCACTTGAACTAGTTTCAGTCTTTGACCAGACCTCATTTGAACAAACAAAACCAGATCAGAAAGTATCTGTCCAAGTGTAAACATCCGCAGTCGGTTTACCCATAACTTTTGTAATTTTATGCCTTTCTGTAACTTACTCTAAGAAGCTTTTGGCTACCAGTCAGGGACTATATGGATTACGGACTGTTAGTCTATATTGATGTTCTAGATCAGAACCTCATTGTTTTATTGAGATAGTAATTCCTTTTTGCTAATTCATCCTATTATGTTCATTATTTAGGTACAAACTGGATGTTGTGAGTGCTGGGAAGAATTTCACAAAGATAAGGAAGGCGATAGCAGCAGGTTTCTTCTTCCACGCCTCTAGGAAGGATCCGCAAGAGGGTTATAGAACCCTGGTTGAGAACCAACCAGTGTATATACACCCTAGCAGTGCTCTATTCCAACGGCAGCCAGATTGGGTCATCTATCACGAGCTTGTCATGACAACAAAGGAATATATGCGTGAGGTCACTGTGATCGACCCAAAGTGGCTTGTAGAGCTGGCACCAAGATATTTCAAAGTTGCTGACCCCACAAAGATGAGCAAACGAAAGAGACAGGAGCGCATTGAGCCTCTTTATGACAGATATCATGAGCCAAACTCGTGGAGGTTGAGTAAAAGACGTGCTTAGTCTATTGTTGTGATTTCATCTTACATATGTTCATCTAACTCTAGAGGAATATAGGTGTGTTAAGAAGATGTTGAAACTCAAAAGAGTGTGCTAACTTGATTTGCTCTTCTGTAGAAGCTTTTCTGTACAAAAAAATGAGTAAGAGATGTCCATTTGTGGTTGCTTTTGCCTTGAGGCTAATTTTCTTTTTGTACGGAGTATTGTTTTTGTTTGATCCCACAAAGGGATTTGAGTAAATTTGTTATGAAATACCAGTGGTGGCGAAACATTCCTTTATTCTGTTATCATGAACCTTTTTTCTAGAGTAGGGTTAAGATGTTAAATTCGATTGATTTAAAATAATGATTTTCAACTCCATTTTGCAACAAATTCGATTTATTTAGAAATAATGATTTTGAACTCTATTTTGCAATACCGAAGTCTCAGACTCTGGCCTTTCAATTAAACAATCTATTGAACTCTCTGTCCTTCATTCGTGTACTTGTCAACAAAATTTAGTTTTAGCAGAACTCTGCGAGTGAAAGTGACTTCCCGGTTTAACATCTTGAGTGCATTCGCCTCGGTTAAGACTTGAGAAGATGGATGGGTATACGACTATACGAGTATATTGTCAACAAATTTAGTTTTAGAACTGGGTTAATGGCTCAAGGTGAGGTTCGGCCCATTTACCCTTTCTTCCGGATGTACGTCCAGATAACACACAGCTAGCCTGGCAAGCCCATGTTCCTCCGGGAGGGACGAACGTCTGCAGTTGGGGTTTAGGCTCAACGGCCCATCTCGACGAACGTCCATGCTGGGACAAGGAGCAGGACCACGGGTCACCAGAATGACGACGAACGTCGTCAGAGCAAGCCCATAGCCATCAGAGGCAGTCCAGTCCACATGGCGAGAATCCACAAAAGGTCAGGGGACGAACGGCCAATACCCCTTGGAGGCCACCTGGAGCAATCCAACTCGCTCCCCGGGCGGACGAACGTCCCCACTAATTAGGCGGGAAACCTAGATTCTGGCGGGAAGTGCATTTAATGCTGAAGATTTGGTGGTTGAGACACCAGCGAACCACAGGCTTCCATGTCAGTATAGTCACTTGCCCATTGGTGGGTATAAATAGAAGCATTTATTTCATTGTAAAGGGTTGACAACTTTCTATTCTTAGCACTCTAGCTATAGCATTCTTACTCGCAGCACTTCTACTGCTTTGTAAGACGATCGGCCGACGAGCCTTAGAGAGAAGTATTGTATTAGGGAGTTATTAAGAGATAATAATACCTAATCGTTTACTTACTGCTTACTGTTCTCCTTGATCCATATTACTTGCTAGTTGGGCTAGATACTCATACACACTCCACTCGAAATCCTTGGGCTTACGTGTTGGACCCGAGGGTTGAAGGAATAAACCTAAACAAGAACTATTCCATACTTTTCATCAAAGCTCTAGAACTTTTTAGCACATTTTTTGAACAATTATACTAGGTGTACACAATATGTGTACATCTTATATAAAGATTCACTTTCTTTTGCCCCTCCCTCTGTCACTCCATACAAAAATCTCTTCCCCCACTCCCTCTTCTTCTTTCTTCCGTTTTCATCACACACAATCACTATCTTCATTATCTTCCATATACATCAAATTCCGTCGTCACTATCTTCAATTTCCTCATTCCATCTCCACATCCACAATCTTCCACTCTCATCTATCTCATCATATTCATCTCATCCCATCTTTACCATCTTTGATATCCATCTCCATCGTCATTATACCCTTATCATCTTCTACAACCGGAAAAACTACATTTGAGTCAATGGAAAGCCGTCGAAAAGAAATGTCTATATACGGACACTAGATCTTATAGTGTCTGTGTATCCAGTCAAAATTGTTAAGCACAGAGGAAAAATGTATAAATTATCTATATACAGATAACTAATTTACGTGCAATCACGTTTCTACTAATAACATGCAAATCAATGTCTTGGACATACACAAACATTAGTTGTGTGTGCTATGACAATTTCTACGTATTTTGTCTGTGATTAACAAAATACATCTAGTTGCACAAAATTTATGTATGTGATGCACAGACAATAGTTATATGTACACAAACAATTTGTATATTATTTGTCTGTGCTTAACAATGTTATCTAAACATAGATGAAAAATGTAGAAATTGTCTTTGTACAGACAACTAATGTACGTTTTATAAGGATATTGGTTTATGTTTTGTGTTTTGCAGAAACGTTAGAGTTTAGTTGCACATAAACCAATATTTGTGCACAAATATTAAGAGTTTGTTTACTAATAGAGATATTTTCCATTTTTTTCAAAAAAAAAAAAAAACATAAAACTTGTTTATCGCAAAAAAATTGCTGAAAAACTGGAGAGAGGAAAATAGAAAAATGTATTACCAAATCGTTTTCCAAATCAAAAAATGAGATATGTCTCTATTTTTCTTAATGAATTGGAGAACTAAGCTTTACTAGTTTTCCAAATTTGAAAAACGCAGATGCTGCAATGCCGCCGCAATGAATATGCATACTTACACCTAGTGGTGAATCCGGTCCCGCTCCATTGTCAGTTTCGGTCCGGTCTAGTCAATGATCCGGCGAACCCTGTTCGGCCAATGACCCGGTAGTCCGGTTCAGTCAACAACTCGGCAGTCCTTATCCAGTCAGGTCAATGACCCGATGATCCCTGTCCAGTGAACGACCACGTGGTACCTGTCTGGTTCGGTCTGGTCGATGGCGGGGTAGTCTCGGTCCGGTCCGATAGACATCAAGGCAGTCAAGGTCCGATCAACGGTTCGACAGTCCCGATCTAGTCAGATCAACTACCCGACGGTCTCTGTCTGGTCCTGTCGACAATCGAGCCGTCCTGGGTTGATCTCGTCAAGAATCCGGCGATCTTGTTCGGTTTGGTTGATGACCCGGCGATTCGGTCCCCATTTTTTTAGATCATATTTTAGAGTGAAGAGTTTCAAAAGAGCTGCTGAGTTGCCAACCAATATGCAAAAGGAAAAAAATTAGTCAAACTAGACGTTTGACCGATCGGGACTAAACGGTTTCGGTCTCGGCTTTCCTATATCTGGGACCAGATACCCTACTTGGGTTGTACTAGGTTCGATTCCGGATCGAGATCGTACTTTCGGTCTTTTGGTTGGTCGCAAAATCGGGTGAAAAAATTGGATAAACATATTTTCATATTTGAAAGTGGAAAACTAGAAATGAAAACATAAAATCGGAGATTGAAAATCTGGAAAATGAAAATAGAAAATTGGAGAACAGAAAACGGGAAATTATATCTGTTAATAAACATGCCCTAATTTTCTGTACAAAGACATTGTGTACATTTTTATTTGTGCGTAGCAATTGTTTATGGGCGCGCACACACACACTATAAAATTTAGTGTCTAAGTATAGGCGTTTTCCGATGACTCAAAATCCACCTTTTCTGATCTTAGAAGGTGATGAATGTGGAAGATGGTGAAGATAGGAGATGGTGACTATGATGAGGTAAATGGAAGTGGAAGGTGATGGAGATGGAGTGATGAAGATGAAAGATGATGTAGTGGATGTGAAGGTGATGAAAATGGGGGAAAAGATGGAAACGGTATGGATAGAAAGAGAGAAGAGAGGATGATGTAGAATATAAAATTAAAATGTTAAAAATATAAAGTATTTCTACCAATAGCAATATGTGAAATAAACGCACACCACGAAAGTTGTATAAATAGCATTTTTTCTATTTCCGATCTAGCAATAGTGTGGGCTTTTAGCCCTATTAGTATGTTATCACTTCAAACTTTATAATCTGATTCAATTATATTTGTTTAAATTTGATACAGGGGTGTTTGGATGAAAGTACAAAAGTATTTCTAGTGCTCTAATTTACTCCCAGAATCAGTTTTTTTAGAAGCTGAGGACGGCCAACTCTTAAAACTGATTTTGATTCTGATTCTACTTTAAAAAAGAAACAGAAACAGAATCAATTCCAAACACCCCATAATTATATTTGGTCTAAACTAGCGTAGTAAAAGTTTGTTTTACGTGTATTTAATTAGTAATTAAATCTAATTTAATATGTTTATATGTAATCTGGTTTGAAACTTAAACAAATCCACACAGGATGCGTCCTTTTTCCTTCCTTTATTTTCCTTAATGCCCTCTTGAATCCCAACAGTAGAATGTAGGGTTTGTGCTTCTCGCAGATTCTCTCAATTTCAAAATTTCTTGCAATTTTCCTTTTCCAACACTTGGTTTTGTCCACACTCTTTACTATTGAATACTTCGTACTATTTAGTGGACATGACAGTTACGAAATACTCCATACTTCATTCACTTCCTATATGTTTCAATATATGTGGGTTCTTTACAGTCTCAACTCAGTAGTTAAATGTCTCTAAGAACTCAGTAGTTACAAAAATAAAAAACTTACAATGTGAGGAGCATAAGAACTAGGGGATCAAGATGGGAAGCAGAAAAGAAGCTTCTACAGTGGAGATTCATCCACCTCATACCATTATACTCTTCTGAGGTCCTCTCAGATCCTACTTCCTAGCAGACTGACAGCTTCCCAGCCACTTCTAGCAACCAATGTTTTGTACTTGTGATAGTTTTTCTCAGATCTCAGTCGGAGTTACTTCTCTGCATACTAAGTACTTGTAGCTGCTTTGGCAATCAGGAAAGACCATGTAGCAAAGAAATAGCACTCGTCGCTTCAGCTCAGTTTCTACTTTTTTTCAGCTGAAGGAGCTTTGTATTCAAAAAGTTGTTCTTGTAAAATGATCCGTAATTAGAGATTCAGATACTTGTTCCCAAGCATTTTCCAGTTACCAGAATAGAGGTAAGCATGCATAAAATATTCTACTCTGACATAACCACTACTCATAGAAAACCATGAAAGTAGCAACTATCTGAACTCGTAGCCGTCAGCTTGATATTTCCATGTAAGTGAAAATAAAAACCTATGATGATATCTTATCATTTATGAATTTTAATTCACAAATTGAGTTAAACTTTCCATGATGTTATTTTAAGAAAATAACAAATGGTTCCTTTTAGCGGTCAAATTTTTGTGAATGGCGCCTTTTAAACAGAAATACAATTTGATGTCATGACATTAGCATGGATGAAGTTTTTTAGACTCACCTTTGTATTTTTATTGCATTTTAGTGATTGGGGGGAATGTAGTGTTATTTGAATGTTTGAGTAATGTATAGCAATTGGGAATTTTCTATCATTGTAATTAGGTCCGTATTACTAAACTCCCAAATCCTACTAATATTATCATAATACTGTGTTATTTGAATACTGGACTCGGAGATGTATTCGTGATTTCAGGAACCTCAGGGATCCTTTGGTAATTTTACCAAACTACTTGTTTATACTTTGTAAAAAAATTGGCTAACAAATAAAAATCAGTTTCCAGAACAATGACAAAAAAAAACAGATTCTAAGACAACTGGTAACGGGAAAACACCACAAAGTGGCTTATGAGACCTGCGTCCTGAAGCCAGGAGTTGCACTCTTTCCATCTTGACTGCTTCTCATGTTATTCCTCTAGATCCACCCCATCAGTCTCTTCCTACGTAAAAAGAACACGACAACATGATGTAAAGGCATAGGCAATCAGATCAAGGATGTTTTTACTTGGACTGTAATTTGCTGGTCTGGTCTGGTCTGGTCTGATCTGGTCTGGTCTGATCTGGTCTAGTCTGAACTGGTCTGGTAAGGTCTGGTTTCTTTGTATTTTTATAACTATCCAGGTCTGGTCTGGTCTGGTCTGAACTGGTCTGGTCTGGTCTGGACTGGTCTGGTCTGGTCTGGGACAAATTACAGTCCAAGTAAAAACATCCTAAAATATGTCAAAGACCAAGGTTGTTGAACCAGAAAAAACACATAAATCAAAATATCCATAGCACTCACATTTTAACTACGGTTATCAGCTTGTCAACTAAAAGATCGGGAAATCCCTATATCATAACGAGGAATAAAACTTATGTGCTGTTAAGGATTTTCCTAGACCATTTTATAACGTGGAAAATAATAGAAACTTGCATTTAGAAATGAACCACCATGCAATATGAACAAAGTTTATGTGATCTATGAAATTGTCTACATTAATATGTATGCCTCGATTACCTTGTATGCATAATAAACTGTCTAAATTATGTAAAATAACCAATATATGATTATTTTTGTTTGTGTAGTCAATGTGTATCTCATTTATTAAAATGTGTCTATTCCATCCTGGCTTCTCAAAAATAAGGCTGAACATACATTTGAATAAGGAGTAATATAAGACTTGGGGAGTGTTTGCGATTGCTTCTACTTTAAAAATGTTATTTTTGAAAGTGAATTTAGTGAAAGTGCTTAATAGTAAAAGTTAGTAGTGTTTGGGGAAAAAATGTTTTTGAAAAAGTAAAAGTTGGCAATGTTTGGTAAAACAAAGTGTTTTTGTGAAATAGAAAAAGTGAAAAGCATTTAAAGCACCCCCTTCACCTATGTCCAACTTTTAGTATTTAAGTGTTTAATTTAAGCAAAAATTGTCACTTGAAAACACTCATTTCAGCTTTTTTAAATCAAAAGCTAAAAAGAACTTTTTGTAAGTGTTTGCAAACACTCCTGTAATGCTAGTCACCTTTTGGCTGAATAAATAAGTTGTGTTTCCAATTAAGAGGTAAATTGGTAAGTAAACAGGATAATGCCATTCTGGTTATGCCATTAGGTCACAAGTATACGGCTTCTTGTGTGAGAATAATGAAACAGGATGCTCTCTAAAGAGCTCTGGCAGATATATTTATACTAGTAGGAATTTAACGTAAAGTACAAGAGTAGTCCTATTATAATTCTATTACACCCCCTCAAGCTGTGTGGGAGAAACAACGCGCAGGTTGTCTTTTAAAAAATGAAAACGCTGACTAGGAAGACTCTTAGTAAAAATATCTGCCAACTGTAAATGAGTAGGAACATGCTGCACGATCAAATCTCCATGAGCAACTCTTTCACAAACAAAATGGTAGTCAATCTGAATATGTTTACTTCGGGCATGTTGAACAGGATTTGCAGTCAAATAGGAAGCTGAAATATTATCACAAAGTAAATGCACCGGCTCCTGAATCGGGTATCCAAGCTCGAACAATACAGAGCGAATGTGAAGCGTGTCCTGAACAGTATAAGCTATAGCACGATATTCAGCCTCTGTGGATGACTTGGACATCGTGGGTTGCTTTTTGGTCTTCCAGGAAATTAAATTGGGACCGAGAAACACTGCAAAACCAGTTGTGGAACGAGAGCTATCAGGACAACCAGCCCAATCCGCATCGGAATAGAAAACCACACAAGTGGGCCGATTAGACTGCTGTAGCCATAAACCATGATCCTTCGTTCCCTGCAAGTACCTGAAAATTCTTTTGACTGCAAAAAGATGAGTACTACGAGGAGCATGCATGAACTGAGACACTAAGTGTACTGCATAAGTAATATCTAACCGTGTCAAGGTTAAATATTGTAATGCACCTACCATGCTACGATACTCAGTAGATTCCGAAAGTAACTCACCATCAGACAGAGACAGAGTAGTGCGAGAGGCTAATGGAGTGCGAACTGGCTTGACAGTGTGGAGATGAAATCGGGCTAGCAGATCAGAAACATACTTACTTTGAGAAAGAAATAAACCTTTAGCATTGCGAGTAGCCTCGACACCCAAGAAATAATGAAGATTACCCAAATCCTTCATGGCAAAATGATTGGAAATAATAGAAATAAAGTGGGTAATGGTAGACGCAGAATTGCCAGTAATAATAATATCATCTACATATAATAATAAATAAATAATATTATTATTCTGGCGATAAATGAATAAAGAGTTGTCAGACTTACTACAAGAAAAATTATGCTGCAAAAGAAAACTACTAAATCTATGAAACCATGCTCGTGGGGCTTGCTTAAGACCACAAATAGCCTTGCGCAAACGACACATATGATTAGGAAACTGAGGGTGGATAAAACCACGGGGTTGACGCATGTAAACTTCCTCTGTCAAATACTCTTTTGTAAAAAGGCATTCTTAACATCAAGTTGTCTTATACCCCAACCTGTCCTCTCACTGAACCACAGCCCTCGGCCGGAAGAGACAGAGGTGATTGCCGGCCGCGTTCCGAAGGAGAGTGGAGCGCCGGTGGATGCCATGCTGCTGGCCGCGACTGACGACGTGAAGAGAGGAGGTGTCGTCGTCGAGCAGGGCGCTGCGGATGCTGAGGAGGCCGGAGTAGTCATCGTGACCGACAAGTGGGGGTGAACCGAAGATCGAAGGCGGCGGCAGAGAGAAAAGCCAGGCGGCGCCGAAGGAAGAGATCAGAAAAAAATTAGATTTTTAACTGTGCTCTTGATACCATGTGAGAATAATGGAATAGGATGTTCTCTAAAGAGCCCTTGCAGATATATTTATACTAGAAGGAATTTAATGTAAAGTACAAGAGTAGTCCTATTATAATTCTATTATCTTGCTCTTACTATGTAAGAAGAACATGAAAAAGGGTTCTTACCTCTTCCAAGTCCTCATCGTCAGCCAAAGCATCTAACCGAGAGTACAAGGCCGCCTCATCAATCTCCTTCTCAGTATTTGTTTCAGCCTTTGCATTTTTCAATAGAACTTACATTATTTAGAGCAGGGAATGATTGTCCTGTGTAACAGTCCAAATTTACAATTAATACTACTACTATCATCTAAACGGGAAGAAACATACCAGTTCAGTTTTCAGATTCTCAATTTTATCCTTCAGAACCATTATATGATGCTTTAGTGCCTGGAATGTATTAAAAGAACAGATATGTGATCAACTTTATAGCCTTGAAGAATGAGACTTCTCTAATTCTACCTGGAAGTTAGAGTGACAACTGTAATTGCCTCCCTTCTATGTAGTTCAATTGAACGTGCCAATGCCTGCCTCCTTGTTAGGAGATTTTTTTTGTCTGAGTTCACAAGGGCGCTGGTAATTTTTCCCGCGATAAAGGATGATTGCATGGCCTTGAGTGGTTTTTTCAGAACCCCACCACTTTCAGCCTCTAGGGTAATTGCAATATATTTCACTTGTGGCAAAGTTTTTCGCTCAACAATTATCTTTACTAACTCCCGATACTTCCAGTGTAAATGCATGTTCTCTATGGTGCCATCAAAAACAGCCTGCCTCCCTAAATACAAAAAAAAAGTTAAATATTGTGTTTTACCCTTGAAAGCAAATAAAATTATTGCAGGAGCAGCCTCTGTTACCTACAAGCAAATAAGGTTTCATGCTCAGACCCATTTTGATGAATAAAAACCTCTCTTCAGTTGTTAACGTTTCCAAATGAATTGGCAGCTCAGATGGTTCCAGATCTTTCTGTAACTTTCATCGTAAGGCCTTCTCAGCATTCTCAACTTTCTTATTTGCCTGCAAACATTTTAAGAACCAGTAACAACATAGCTCACACACTTCTAAGGTAACCTACTCATTTAGGATCCATTTGGAACTTGGAAAATGGTATGGAAAGAAATTATACGTTTGTTTTGGAGAAATAAAACTTTTGGGGAAATAAAATATTGGTTTATAATCATTAAATTTATGCACATGTACGATATTTGTTCAAAATCATTTTATTGAATTACTTTAATTTTATAAAGATGTATGAAATTTAAAAAATGCAAAAAGAAAATCTAAAAAATTACCAAATTTCATTTTCCTGTAAAACCAAACACAAGGAAAATTCCTTGGCATTTTTCCCCATTTCCATAGCAGTTTACAAAATCCAAGAAGACCTTTAGCAAAAAAACTTACAAACGCTAGCTTCTGTTCAAGAAATCTAATCAGAGAAGCATGCCTTGCTTCAGCTGCATCTTTCATCATCTTCTCTCTCTCTTGAACACTAATGGGTTGGGTAGCCCAATGTGTTGTTGCAGCTACGGTCTCAGCAAGAGTTCCTGCAATGAATGGCCGTTTAACATCCCTGCAGCTTGCAAATATAGAGTTTGAAGCCACTTTCCGTGCTTCTTCTTCCTCTTCTTGTTGGAGAGCATTTCGTGACTCGGCTTCTTTAAGTGCTTCTGTTACAACAGGCGCCAAGAAGTCATTACCCCTATAAAAGACTATATATTCCTTATTCCGTAACAAGAGTGTTCCTCCGGTCAACACCTAATAATAATTTTGATTCATTGTCAGCATGGAAATAGCACTCTGAAACATTTAATTTATTCTGAAGGTGCTTGGTTTCCAAACTAACCCTGAGTTCTTCTGCCATCCTCTCACTGCATGTATTATGCACACCGCTTTTGATGGCAATCTTCACAATTATGCTTCTTTCCCACAGCTTCACCACAGCAGCAGCCAATCCCTGCAGCACTCTGTTTCTTCCTGATGTATTACGCAAAACAAAAAAAATATTAACAAGTTGAAAAAGGAAAATAAATGGTTATTGTTAAAGAGTTTGTCCTACATCAGCTGAATATAACATTAAAAAAATGTACTATCTCCGTCCCCCTAACATTGGGACAAGAGGGAGTTGTGTGGTTATTAAGAAAAGAGGTTGGTTGGCATCCACATATTGATAAAGTGGTATGGGAGAATAAAGTAATAATGAATTGTAACCATCCACATATTACCAAATGTGGTATGGGACAAACTTAGTGGGACTGAAAAAGGTAAAATGGGACAAAGGTGGGGGCACGAAGGGAGTACTTTGTAAGAGGCTACTCTGCATATTAGAACTTAGCAGATGTAGTTCTAATCTTAAATTCTCAATATGGTATTAGATTTAACCCGATTCATAATCATGGTGATGGAATTTCTATAAAATAAGTACAAGCTTCACATGAAGTGTCGGGCTGGTATGTACCTCATGCAAAAAGTTGCAAAGTCCAAACGAGATGAGAAAAACCTAAAGTATTTCCAATTTAGCCAAAAAGCACGACCGAAACAAGGTGTTGAAGAGTTTCTCCTACGCTGGCCGAATATAAAATAATAAACTAACATAAAATATCTTGGCTTTCCATCATTTGCAATGGAGTCAAAGACTCACTATTTTTTGGCTTGGGAATATGATGGAATAAAGCAAAATGGCTCACTAAACTGTCTGCAATTCTTTGTTTGAAGTAGCAGTCAATCCATGCAATTAACGACGGGATTTTCAATATGGGTCATCCGGAAATAGTCTCTTTGTGCTTTAATAAAGGGGTAAGGCTGCGTACATCCGACCCCCTTACCTCACTGGGGTAATGATGAGGATGAAAACATCTTGGACTTATCCTACTATTAGGCCATCATTTTAGGATGTAACCCAAGTCCTCATAATCGTGCTTTAATATTTACGAGGAAAACGAGAAAAGATCATACCTAGGGGAAAATGTGGGGGCATTGCCTTTGCTGTCCTTCTAAGGTGTGCCTTTTCGTTTTCTCTCAAATTGTACTTGACACCATAAAGGACACGTCTAAAAGGAGGCCTATATCCAGGAACAACAGCAGGCAACAAATCAGCATCAATAGGGAGTGGTTCACGACCACTCCAATCTTCAACACGTGGGCCCAGCTCATCTAAATGAGGATTGAGCTCACTTAAATGTTGAAGACCACTCCAAATCACTTGATAATTTTGAAGGATTCAAATTAAATTGACTTTGTTGAACTACTGATTTTACATGATCATATGTGTACAATAGTCCTCTGTATATCACTATTGAGCAGCCCGACCTACAGATCACTATTCCTCCTGTTTCAGCCTGAACGACGCAATGATCAACCAAAATATTCATATCATTATCGAAGAAGAAAAAGGGGACACAAGGTTAACACTCTAGAAAGAAAATAATTCCTTACAAGTGCATCAGCAATATATTAACACTCAAATAACACTCAATTCCTTAGAAAGAAAATAATTCATCTCATCAGCACGCAATAAAATAAAACATTCAAATCAGGATGAATAAAAACTTGTTTGCATTGGTACTTGGTAAGAAGGAACACTAAAAACAGCAATAGACTCCAAAATGTTAACTTTATTGGTTAATGTTAGTCTCACGCTGGAAAATTAAGAAATGATGGGTTAATAAGACATTGTGTTAACTAAATTTATGCTCCAAATTTGGCCCAAATATCTTCTGAACTGCTTTAGTGATTCCAAATCTCATACATTTCTAACTAAAAATGAAAATGTGCACCGTAGATAAGCACTCACCTCAAGTATCTCTTGTGTCCTATCCATGTTTTGCGAGAGAGGGCCCTCAAAGTTCAACTTCACAATCTCGTCCTCCTTCCACTTCTCATGAATATATACCACCAGTGCCTGTGTAATGCCAGTTGTTCCAACGTTTATTATCTCAAATGTCCTCAATGCCACGTTTCTGAGCCTCTTCAGCTCAACCTCTGGATTCAGGAACAGAACCAGTGGGGAAATTCCCCCGAAGATGAAGGTCTCGGTCCAATATTTGACCTTTCTGGGACGTTGAAATTGAGGCTGAATCCCCATCAAAATTCACTGCTTCAGAATTAGAACTGGCCTCTTTATCTGAGATTTCCAGCTCTTGAATCTTTGAATTGTAACTCACTGAGTCACTGGTTTCTACCTTCTCTTCCTTATTGTCGTCAGTTCTATTCACTGTACACGACAGCCTAGGGTATTGAGTTTGTTCTACTATTAATTCTGGGTTTTGTTCTTGCCAGGGAATATTTTTCCACGAAGAAGTGTGTTCAAGAGGCCATTTCTCATGGACCTTTTCAAGAAAGCTTGAACTGGGCTTTCTCTTCTTCCTTTTGGAAGTGGTGCTTATTATTTCAGTTTGGGTTGTTGGAGAAGAACAGTAGAGTTCGAATATTTGAGTTCTAAGTGTAGTCGGAAAGTGGAGTGGGTTGTGGAAGTAATGATATTGTGAAGTGGCAGAAGAAGAAGGAGATGCAAAATTGTACACAACTTGTACACACAATGTCGGTCACAGCCAATTGGTACGGAGTTGCCTGTAATCACAGACAAGAGTTGTTTGTGTACACAGACAAATTTTGTCTATTTCCACAGACATTTACTTTTTTTTGTAAAAAGTACACCGAGAGCCGCCTGAAACTGACAAGTACTTTTTACACAAAAGTAAATGTCTGTGGAAACATACAAAATTTGTCTGTGTACACAGACAACTCTTGTCTGTGGTCACAGGCAACTCCGTACCAATTGTCTGTGACCGACATTGTGTATACAAGTTGTGTACAACTTGCGTACCCCTAGCATTTTCCAATTAAGATAAGGCGATGGACCTTGAATATTGCCGATACCCATTATTGCCGATACACAAAAGTGTATGGTTAGTTAATTTTGGGCATTATATTTGATGTTAATTTTGGGCATTATATTTGATGTGAACATCAATTTTAAAATGAGTATAAAGCAATTTTAAATGAGCATGCATAACTTACAAAATGAGTATAAAAAATTCGAAGCTCATTCGTGTATAATCATTCATTTTGAATGTTATACTCATTTTAGTTTAACATAAAATTCATTTCCAATGTGTTTGATATTAATTTGTGTGAGTTCATTTCTTTTAGGCGTATACTCATTTCTTTTAGGTTCATTTAAAAACTCTATCATACTCAAAATTTTATTTGTTCATGCTAATATCTTTAAAACTAAGTACTTCATACAATTTAGGTATCCCCTAGGCCCTAACCCAAAAGCTACCAAATTAAAAAAAAAAACAGAAAAATAGAAAGAGGAAAAGAAAGCGGAGCAAAGCATCATCTTCTCAGCATCTGCACAATCCATCCATCCATCCATAGCCCGAGCGAAGCCATCATCTGCGCAACCCATCCACAGCCTCTCCATCGCCGCGCGCAGATCGATGAGCGAAGGCCATCGACAATAAAGAGACGAGATTCGAGCGATGGGGGTGGAGATCCCAGCGAACAAAAAGCCCGGCTGTACCGTGCGCACGATACAACCGGCTGTACGGTGTAATTTACGGCAGATGAGTGTTGGAAAGTAACCAACATTTCCTACCTCTGATTATGAGTTTAGTAGTAATAAAACAAGATACATGAAGGTAAATGAAAGTTAAAGGTTTTTAAATATAAGTCCTACTCCTTTTAAAACAGAAGCAGAAACAGTTTTCAGAAGTTGGTTTCCCAAAAAATGCTTGTAGTAGTAAATTAGAGCATCAAAAGTACTTTTACACTTTCACTCAAATACCCAAACTTCTATTTTTGCTTCTTGAAGGAGTAGAAACAATTTTAAGGATCAAATATTTTGCATGACAAGTTTTGGATGGAATTCTACCGACCCTTGATAACCTAAGAAGAAAAGGGGTGGAAATCCAAAACGGATGCAAGTTATGTGGCGAGGCATCACAGTCATTAGACCATGCGGTGAGATCGTATACCTGGGTTCGCGCGGTATGGCAGCAGGCGGGAGTTCTGATGGAGATGGTGTAGTTTCTCCCATTTGTGGGTCACCTATGTGAGAGACTTTACAAATGGGTCACCTATGTGAGAGAGAAGAGGGTCGCTTCAAAGGAGAACTATAAAGGCTCAGTTCTTTAGGGTCACCCATGGCCAAAACAGGCAAACTCATGAGAACGAAACAAAGTTGGAAAGTTCTTGTGTAAAGATAAGTCAATGTTTACACGACGGCAGTATAGTTCAAGGACATCGAGTCTACTAGACAGCCAGTAAATAAACATGTCTTTACAGTGGAAGGTTCAAAGGATTAAACCCACCTCTCCGTATACAAGGATCATCCGGTGAACACAACGTGTCCTCCTATCTTCGTGTCTTTTTTTAAGTCTCGAAAATCAATTTTCATTCATGTGGGGGATTGCTGGAAAAATGTGTTAAAATTGCATTGAATAGTAATTTTGGGGCAATATTTTGAGTGGGGTCCACTTTCCGATTTGGGTCGAGTCAAAGTGATTTTGGATTGTCCTTGCTAAGGGCTATAATTCGATATATGATACGCTCAAAGCGGATAACGGGTGAATAAGAAATTGATTCTCGAAGTTTACCCGTTAGAATGGAAAAACTGGGAAAAAAAGATGGGTGTCTAGTGTGTTATTTCTCACACCAGAAAACCCAAGAGATTTGCAACCCTTTATAAATGGACTCCCCCCTTAAGGAGTTAAGATTCCTTAGGGTAAAGGCTCTCTCCACGCGTGCAATAGGGCAAATCAAATCCCGAAATCGGAGAAGAAAAATCGCGACTTGCGTGCGCAGGCGACTTGCGGACACGAATGTCGTCCAAAAATCTATCTGTCAAGAGATACGGTTTAATTTTTGTTTTCTTCCCGAAACGTTTATTTTTTCCTAGCTGACAGAAGGCTTCAGACAGAACCCCTCGTGGGGTGTTCTGTTGGCTTCGGACAGAACACCTCGTTGGTCATTGATGTCCAACGTTCAGGTCCATTAATTCGCCATTTACACACAACTAGGGCTGTTAACGAGCCGAGCCGAGCCCGAACACCTAAAGCTTGAGTTCGGCTCGATAAGGAATTAATGGTGTACGGGTTCGAGCTCGAAGCTCGGTGAGCTTTACAAATGAGGCTCGTGTTCGGCTCGACAGACGTTTGATGTTCGAACCGAGCGCTCGATAAGCTCGATAAATATGGTCGAATTTAAAATTTTAGGTGACGCTCGTCAATAGGCTAGTGCTCGAATGATTCGACAAGTATTCGGTTCGTTAATAATCATATTTAAATTCATAAATTCATACAAATTATATTTAAATTTTGATTATATATAAATTATATTTATAATGCAGGGTGTTCGATAGGCTCGAGTTCGAACCGAGCCGAATACTACTATGTTCGAGCTCGTCTCGATTAATTTTTCGAACTTAAAACCCAGGTCGGGTTCGAATTCGAAAGCTCGTTAAGCTCGGCTCATTAGGTTCGAAACCGAGCTCGAACTTGAATAGTTCGATAAAAGCTCAGTTCGTTAACAGCGCTACACACAACAAATCCTCTTATATAATCCTGGGAAACGATTGTTGCAACGCTCCTAGCACCATGAGAGGCAAAAAATACGTTTTAAGGACATCAGCGTAGCACGAGCTTTGGCTAAATTCTGCTACATCGCATTTCTTGTTTTTCTTTAGTCATTTTAATTAATTTATTTTAATTAATTTTCTTTATTTTCCGAAACACACCCAACAATATACCGTGCTGAAGAGACAAAACAAACCTCTCGACCAGATATAGACCGCCGAGGACCAAAATCCTTCCCCACAAACGAGGGAGGCAGAAAAACTCCGGCAGCAGTCCGGGACTGAAAACGCTAAAAGCCAAAAATTAAGAAAGACTTATGCCGTCATCGGCGACCATTGCCGCAGGGTTCGCGCCGCACTCCGTAAATAGACTCACTCATGGCAAAAATCGGCTAGAAGCATCACAAATAATTCGTTGATGCTTAAACCCTCTACGGAATGTCTGGCCTTTGCTTAGACTGATTGCAATGGAGGGGTGAAAACCCCAAATGTGAGGTATTCACCCCAAAAACTACTGCAACCCCGCCTTTTTTTGTATAGGAGGGTCTCATTGAGAATAGGGGAAAAGGTGGGGAGGGATTTATGGCCGGTGCATTCACTCCCTAGTTGGAGCTGACATGAGCAGTGGACCATCATCCCAAGAAGTCAGCTGAAATATGCAGGAAGAAATGTGAGGTCAAGATTTACGCGTGTGCTGTCACTTGCTTTGGAGATTAGTGCACGGCTAGTGGGAATTAAAAGCTACATGGAATAATTCAGGTTGGGAGTAATACTTGGCTGCAGCTTTGGAGAATGGAAGTAATTCCAAATAAATTGGTAAACATACAAAACATGTTTTAAATTTAAATTGGCTGCAGCTTTGCAGATTTAAATTTAATATTAAACAAGTTCATATTATATAAAATAAAAAATTAATAATATAGAAATTTAAAAAATATTTATTAGTTTTAAATTTATTTCAAATTGAACTCAAGTACGCATTTTTAATACTTACTAAAAAAATAATTCAAATTTTTAATTTTTTTACATCGGAATGTTTGACTTTTTAAATAATAATTAATGGTAAAAATAAAATTAACATATAAATGATGTGTAATAAAATAACTAAGGATCTATATATATAATTAAAAAGTACTTGTGCTGAATGGATATATTGACGGTGTTGGGTTGCAGAGAAAAACTGAATTGACTGAGTGAATACGTATAAACTGGAGGGGAATTAGATTTATTGATGGCTATGGGTTGCGGTTAGCCTTAGAAGTAAGGGGGTTACGGATCGTGTAGTATTCTTTTTCCTTCTTTTTGTAATCCAAGATTAGTTACTTAGTTAGGGTTAATTACTAGCCTGGTCAAAATATGGGTAAGCTGGTAAAATCCATAAAATACTTGGGGGAGCACTTCGGTGCATTTGTGTTGTGGAATGTTTGGGTGCATTCTCCACTTGGCATCTTCTTATTCGTAACTTAGTCCAACTCATCTTTTTTATTAAAAACAAATAAAAATTGCAAGGTCGTCCCTGAGCAATTCACTCTTTTTGCCGTCGACATCTCCTTTTCATTTTCACTCTTCCCACCACTCCAATCGTTTTTGTCTTCCCTGTAATAGAATTCATGCCTGATTAAAAATCCAATTACTAACCGACCGTCCAAAGGTGTTTGCGGGATTTCTTTCTCTTTCAACGCTTTCAGAACTGCTCAACATCGGAACCGACGGCCAGAGCCCGGCTGAAGGAATTGGCCGCTCAATCCAATCTATCATTCGTCAATAAAATTGCCGCTAGGTAATAAACGGATTTCTGAGGGTAGATTACGAAGTCTCACAGGGTTACGTCAATGGCTTCACAGATGTTAGGTAAAAAGGTGAGTTCTTTTTGTAGAGGGACTGTT